GAACCTGAAATCAACAATCCAAAGAGGCTTATGCACCCCTATGTTCATTGCAGCATTATTCACTATAGCCAAGAAGTGGAAGCAACCTAAGTGTCCCTTGACTGGCGACTGGATCAAGAAAATGTGGTATATATATACATTGGAATACTACTCATCCATAAAAAAAGACAAAATCGTCCCATTTGCAACAACATGGATGGGCCTGGAGGGAATTATGTTAAGTGAAATAAGCCAGAAAGAGAAAGACAAACACTGTATGCTCTCACTCATATGTGGAATATAAACCAACACACGGACAGAGAAAACTGTATTGTGGTTACCAGGGGCAGTGGGGGTGGGATGTGGGCACAAGGGGTGAAGGGAGACATGTATATGGTGATTGACAAACAAAAATGTACAACCCAAAATTTCACAATGTTATAAACTATTAAAACATCAATAAATAAATAAATAAAAAGGGCAAAAGATCTGAATAAACTGTTCTCCAAAGAAGATATATGAATGGCCAATAAACACATGAAAAGATGCTCAACATCACTCATGATTAGGGGAATACAAATCAAGACCACAATGAGATATCACCTCACCCCACTGGGATGGCTAGAATCCAGAAAAAGGACAGGAGCACCAACACACAAGGGTTCTGGAAGAAGACGACTGAGCCACACTGCTCCAAGATTGCAATCATATCCTGCATCCTCTTTGGGGGTTCGGGGGGGGGGTGGGAGGGGATAGGGTTGAAATAGTCCAGTTGTTGGGATCGGGGGGAACTGCCACCTCAGCTTGAACTGCCCTCTAGAAATAGGCTGCCATACAGAGAGCCACGAGAACGCCTGCCCAGCTGCCAGAGCACTCCAGACGCCGGCCGCGGCAGCCTCACGACCGGATTCTCCAGGAATTCCAGGCACTTCTCCAGGCCCAGGGCCTCCCTGCCTGCCAGGATGCTCTTGGCGACACTGTTCCAGCTGGGATTTAGAAGGGGGTTGAATTTCCCTGTCAGCTTGAGGAATACCAGAGGATGGAGTCCCCGGAAACCAAATGCCTCTTAATTCTCTTGTTCCGTCTTCCTGCAAAATGTGCCTCTTGCTTCTGCTCAGTTAACTGCCTTGCAGATTAATAATTTAGGGAATCGTGAGGCAGTGAGAAAAGTTCCAGCCTGGAAAGGCAGAGAAAGCCAATTTTTCTGCTGAATTGACTAGACCGGGCAGAATTCTGACATGTACCATTTGGGCAAATTGCTTAGCCTTCTGAGTCTCAGTTCCCTCAATTGTAAAGTGTGGCTCATCAGCTACCACTACCCTGGCTAATTCACCTTGCTGTTTAAATTAATTTAGCAAGCATTCATTAGTGTTTACTCTGTGCATGTCTTCTGAGACTTCAACTGGGAGACATTCTTGTGACAAGTGTCCTCCAGTGTGATAGTCTGGAGGAAGGAGCCTATAACTCTGCCCCCTGAAAGGTTCTAAACATGAAGGGACATTTGGATGGGGCCGTGAGGGATGAGTAGGAGCCCACGTGTGGGGTTGTAGGATGCAAGAAAGTCATAACAATGTGTAGTTCCACTGTATTGTCCTAGGTTTCAATCCTGAGCTGCTTGCTTCCCATTTCACATGCCACAACCCGACTTCATCCTCATCTTCCTGGCTGTTGACTGCCTCCTTTCTTCCACAGCCTCCCTGCTCTCCTTCGACCAGACATGTGGCCCCGTCCCCAAAGGCCAACCTTTGTAGTCCCTCTCCCAGAGCGGCCAGGATGAAGGCCAGCCCCTCCACATGGCGGGCCCTAAGGCCTGTGTGGCCTGGCTCAGGTCCACCCCTCAGCCCTCATCTCTCATCCTGCCCCCTCCATGCATGCCACACCTCAAGCAATACTAATCTTTTAGTCTCCGACACTCCCCACTGTGCATGGCTCATGGGTAGGACCTTGCATTTCAGCTTCGACGTTACTTCTCCCAGAATGCCACCCCTGACAGGCCCCTCATCCAAGTTAGAAACTCCTCTTATACACTCTCAGGTGACCCTGCACCTGCTCTCTCATCACACCACTGAGCTGAACTGTCACTGCCAGGTGAGTCGTGCCTACATCCTTCTCTGCAGCATCCCCCATGCCTATCAGGGGGCCTGGGACACAAAGGTGCCCAGCAGCTGAATAAATCAAAGGTTGGCAAACTAAGGCCTGAGAGCCAAATCTGGTCCACTGCCAGTTTTTTTTGTTTGTTTGTTTGTTTTATCTTGTGTGTGTGTGTGAGGAAGATCAGCCCTGAGCGACCATCCACGCCAATCCTCCTCTTTTTGCTGAGGAAGCCTGGCCCTGAGCTAACGTCTGTGCTGATCTTCCTCCACTTTATGTGGGACGCCGCCTCAGCGTGCCCTGACACGCGGTGCTTTGGTGCGCGCCCAGATGGAACCCCGGCTGGCAGCAGCAGAGCGCACGCACTTAACCGCTAGGCCCCGGGGCGGCCCCGCCAGTGTTTTTTTTTTTTAAATAAAGTTTTATTGGAACAGAGTCACACTCATTCACTT